CACTTCAGAATTACTTTAAATTACTATTAAAATTCATGACTTTGCGTTTTAAATTATATCTGTGAATTTTATTAAATTTCTTTTTTTTTTATTTCCTGATGAAAAGTCGTATTGCATGTGGATCAAATTCTACAATCAAATACAATGGAATGTCACATGTCTTCTCTCTCTCTTTCTCTCTCTCTTTGCCTCTCTCTCTCTCTTTCGGTTTTGTGCAAGGGTTGACCGGGACTAGATGGAAATTTACAAGATCATATCCCTTTATGAGATTCTTCCCATTCTTTTCATCGCAGATCATAGCCACTCTTTGAAGGAGAATCGCTTAATTGCGCAGTGCCATCACGAACTCAGGCGGAATAAAAGCTTTGCCTGGCCGTTTCGCTGAATAAGAATAAGCTGCGCGGTCATATCGATTAGCGCATACTCGGCCGGAAAGTTCACGGAAAGATAGAGTTCTGCTTTACTCGCATGTTTAGCGATATTTTCTTATTGAGTTCTCATTTAAAAGTTGAACACGCAAATAAAGCGTGGGAAGCATAACATATTGTTACGTATCAACGCATAACATATCGTTACTCTATCAACATATTTGTTCTTAAAAGATAAAATCATTAATTCCTGCACGTTGGATATTTTTTTTATATTAAGTATTTTTCATAACATTAACATTTTCGTTTCTAATTTATGAAACTATTTGAAGCGTATAAAGAGATACGTTAATATGTTATGCATTTATTGTTGCATAAACAAACAATATAAATTTCATCGTCGAGCTAGAATTAAGAAAATTCCGCGAAACTGCGATAAATTTCAGACCCGTGCGTCTACGCTATTGTTATTAGTACTTTAGTTACTGCAAAAACTTGAGTTGGGAGGATGAGCACAGAGCAGAATAACGAAACGCGATAATTACGTTAAATCGCAGTTCCGTAAGTAAATTGGAATTAAAAAGTTTCGAGATTAAAAAAATTATGTTGCGGCCGAAACTACGAAATATAATAATTGGTCAGATGGTTAAATAGATGAAAATTAAAACTTTTTTTGCTATTTTTGTAAGTTTTGTTTGAAAAGGGAAAAAAAGCATGACGTAAGCTATTTGTGGAAATAAACTCTTTCTGAAAATAAGTACCTCTACAAGATTATTCGTAATTTACTTATATTGTTAAAAAATGTTAAAAAATATTGTTTAAAAAATGTTTTTCTTCAAGTTTTGGTGTTTGACAAAATATTATATTTTTTAACTAAATAAACTTGTTTTAACATGTTTATTTAAAAAAAATAATTATAATGATAAATTAATTATGAAAATATTCAACATTTCTTCGTGTACTATTATCCATGTTGGATTAAAATTGAAATATAAAATTACATTGAATTTTTATTTTAAAGTACAATTTATCTTAACATAATTTTAAGTAACTTGTATGTCAAGAATGTAAATCTTCGTTGTGCAAACGACGCAAGTGCTTTTACTATAGAATGAAAATTTTTAAAGTAAAAGCAAGACTAGAGATGTACATAAGATAGGTTGAAAATTTTCCCGACACCGACGAAAAGTGTGCCAGTCAAGACGTGCGATATTCAGCGGAATTACCGGGTCGATTTACCCTGATTTCCGGCGGTCTACCGAGATGACGATAACCTAGGTCGTGGTTGGCGCGGTGTACGGCCGCTTGATGCAAGCATTCGAAGCACGATCAAATTTCGATGCGGTGCAACAAGGTCGTATTAAAGCGCAAGTGCGCTTATACTCCGTGCAACGTGATGTTCCGCCGATATAAGCCAGAAGGAAAATTGTGCGATTGTTTTAATTCTAGCAGCAGCTGTTCTCGTGCTTTCTGATTTAGCAATCCGCCGTGTCGCTTTGAAATTGAGGTCGACGAATGGTGCCGCTTTAAGATAGTGCACATTGATTGTGATAAATAATCGACGATCCTCTTCGAAAGTATAAAAAACGGGCTGGTATTTTGGAAGACTTCGTATATATGCTTCGTTTAGCAGATTGAATTACGAGAGCTATGTTCAGTACATTTCTTGCAAATTTAATGATCTATCGCATTTTGTAAATAGCTGAAGTTATCTGTCGCGACAGATGTAACATCTAAATTGCAAAATATAATTTTTGAGAGGGAAGATAACCAAAAATAAGTTGCAAATTGCAGAAATCATAAACATAATTTTTCGCGTTACAGAGATTGCTTGAGAAAATAACACTAAGCTTGCGATATTAATTGTTAAGAAGTTTACTTATTATTATACGAGGATCAAAAGTTTCGGAATGAAACAGAGAAACGATTTATATCTTTTTAAAATTATTATTTTTTAATTTTTTAATGTCAATGCACTTAAACTAACAATGTTTCAAAGCTATTACAATATTATTACAAAACTTGTCAAGATCTGCAAAATATTGCTTTTTTCACTTTTTCTAGCAAAAATCTCTCCAAAAAAGAGTTTTTTTATCTGTTGAAATAGATGGAAGTCTGACAGTGTTAAATCAGGCGTGAATGTGACAAATCTTCAATTTGTCCATTTTTTCCATCGAAACAACACTTGTATGGGGACGCAGATTGTATTGATGGATCATTTTGCTAAACCTGGCTTTTTTTTACAAATATTTTTGTGCAGCGAGTTCAAAAGGTTAACGTAGTACTTTCCCGTTATTGCGCCTTTCGAAAAGTAATCTATCAAATCTCTTTCGTATTCTAGAAAGTCGTTGGCGTCGATTTACCTTTCCAGTCGATAAAATCACTTTGTTTGCTGCAAAGAACCATTATATGTCCGTTCTTTTTATTGTTATTTTGTTTCTGGTGTATAATGGTAAAGCCAAATTTTATTTGTGGTTATAAATGGCACAAAGTCGGTTGTACTCTTTTTAAAACAGTTCACTTTTGCGAACAAAATACTTTTGCACAATTTGAATGTGTTTTCGATCAATTTTTAGCAAACGCGGAATTCAATTTCTATGCATTATTTTTGTTTGATATCTCTAAAATGTAACTTAAATGTGAAAAATTGAAAGTTTTAGTTTTTAATAGCATCTGGCCGCATGAGATAATAGTGATTATGCTATCTAGGTGATTTATAATGCTGACTGATGGCCCTAGCTCGTCATTTTCTTTGAGCTTTTTCACTCAACCAGAAGCAAGACGATGAAGGCGAAGGAGCTCGAAGGTTAAGCCAATTTTGACAAGGATAATACATCACGTAACGCGCGACCCTCTTGCCAAATATCTCTGGCTTTTATAATAAGCGTAATAGCTTCTGAAGATTGCCTTCGATGTTGGACTTTTCGTATACACAAAGTAGTCAGGGAATGCAAATTTTTACTGTCAATGAACCTGTCTAAGGTTTGGGTTGTCAATCACTGATACAAAAAAAATCGCATCCTATTAGGATTAGAGTGACAGTATGGGCTTAGATGATAAAAAGTGAAAGCAACGAACGATCAATATTGAAATATTGATTTTCAAGCTACGTTATTTATTCAAAGTATTCCTCAGAGAAAAATGTACAAATAACAGAAATAGAAGAACGTTATTATCATTTGAGAAAAATTTTGATTTAAATTGACATTAATGTTACGCATGATATTATTTTTCAGTTTATGTTAAACGTACAATATATACTTTTGCTATTTATTCTAAATACTGTATCACAAATGCAAGCTTCTCGAATAGTTAATATCACAAGCTTACCGTACTGTATTTTCGAGCGGTTTCTATATAGCGTGGAAAATTAAGCTCTCTGAAATTGTAACAGTTCCGAACTCGACTTTGGCGAGAACCGCAGATGCTCGCACGAGTAAACACATGCACATTTGAACGAAAAGTAGGAGAGGTGGAAGAGAGGTATTAATTATTTCTCCAGTAGTAAACTCCGCTGTTTGCGATACACTCGACTTCTTGCTTGCAATATACGTGTATTTGCTACTCATAACGTGACGTTCCGCCGTAAAAACGGAATAATCATAGGCAGATCGAGATGTGAAGAGTGGTGGAAAGCGCGGACGAGAAAATCGATTCTCATTTTCGCCAAGCCGATGGTTACGAAAAGGTGTTCGTTCGCTTCTATATACAGAAATTTTCATCGACGCGAATCGATACTCGTGCTAAAAAAGGAAGCCTGGAACACGTTGCTTAAAGCTAAATTTAGGCATGAAAATTTTCCTTCTCTCGGTCTACATTATTAACAAGATTACGATTTAAAAGACAAAAGTTCAAGTTGGTTTACTCACTTCAAACTATCGGTAAACGAGTTTTAATGATATGCAAATACTAGACGATGATTACGCTGTTTTTTCTATGAAAGTAGATCACTCGCGCAATAAGCAATATTTTATTTCTCAACGCATTTCACCAGTTGATATATGATTTTACATTTTGCGTCAAAATTAAAAATCAACAATTTAAACACTTTGAAGGTATCCTTAATTTTCTCAAGTTTTAAAAAGTAGACATAATATTAAATGGAAGTTTATTTTAACCACAAATTCCCTAAAAAATTGTTCGCGTTCATTAATCTTTTATTAAAAAATTGTTGTTGAACAGGAAAAACTTAATCCTCGAAAAAGAAAAAAATAAGTCTTTTTTTATGGCGCCGACAAGGGCAAAAGTTAAGACAAGTTAAATTACTTTTTGGAACCTGGGATGACATATCTATCTTGGATGTCAAAACTCCGGTGTTATGAGAGAAGTCGGAACACCGACAAATACAATATATTCGGATGTTTGAAATTAAAGTCCAGAATTAAAGTTAGTCGATTTACGTAAGAAATGGCAGCGCGTAATTCACATCGTAAGAAAAAGTCGAATTAAATATAAAACTTACAAGTATTTTTTTCTAATGAACGGAAACAACTATTCTGAAACAATTATCATTAAACTAATAGGAAAGAAATATGTTTATATATTAATATTAATTAATGTTGTAAGAGAGAACTTTTGCATAATACCTTGAGATAATTACAAAGTTACAAGTTTATAACGGCGGTAACTTACAATTGAGAGCCTCTTCGTCGATTGCGTCTTTCCTCGTCGGGTATGAGAACGGGTTGGGGCACAGGCGGTGTCACCACAGGTGCGGATGACGAGTCCAGCTTAATCATTTTCTCATCGTCGGCCGCAACCTCGTAGGGCATCGGTTTTACGGCGCGGAAGGAAGACCTGCGCGTTACGGGTCGCTCTTCAGGTTCTCGAGCGCCTACGAAGAAGCAGACGACCAACGTTTTTAGGCCGATTACCCTCGAAATATTTAATGTGACTTGTTATTACGACGAGCAAATCGCCTTAAGTGACGATGTCATTACTGTTAGATATAATAAAAGTAGAATCAGAATAAAAGCTCGGATGTAGTAAAATGCTTTGATAAAAAAAATATATTTAAATCAATTTTATTTAGACGCGTTATAATTTTATATAATTCAGAATTAATAATATATGTGGAAAATTATATTTATGCCAGAATATTGAAATATACACGACAGTTTTTTGATGAAGGTTCTAAAAGTGTTGAACATATTCAAAAGGAATAAAATGGTCATACACTTGAACATCGAAGTACAATGCGGGTCAAGTGCCAATGTTGTTTCTTTTATAACACAGGAAATGGAGTGTGCAGTCCGTGACCGGAGCATAGAGAAACGAACATGGGTTACATTGCGATACGGGCGTTGAAACGTAGCATACTTTGCTTCACTGCAGATATCAAAGTTAAAACACTAATTGAATTAGAATCGATTCATATAATAACAATCGAGTAATTAACACGACAGTTTATTTTCTTGTGCAATTATTGAACCTTCTTTCTCTTTTTTTCTATAAAAAATCTTTTTACGTGGTCTCTCAATTTATACAGAATTTGAAACTGCTGGTCAAGGTCTTACTTCATTTAATATTGCCTTATATTATATGTAAAATATTGGTGTCTTACTGACAAAACTAGCGTCGCGCCGAAAGAATACCTATAAAACATTATGTTCGACAAAATGGAGATTTGAAAAGCAGTCAGAAAGAGTCGATCGACGCGTAGTGAATACAGGCAGCTTTGAAACCGCGTTACGTTCGTACTCTTCTCCGTGATGCATCGGGAAATAGTTTCCATGGGAAATTCGCTGCAAGTTCTCTGTGTGTACGACCTTTCGATAGAGATCGAGAGAGAAAGAGAGAGGGGGAGAGGAGAGAGAGGGAGAGAGAGAGAAAGGGAGAGAAAAGTTGAATTTCTATGTCGAGTTGGTGCTTGTTTGGTACTTCCGATCACGCATACACACTGGCAATATATGTGCGCGTAGTATTAAAGTTACACAGTCATAGAAATGGATCTCAGGATTCGCGACACATGTCCAACAGACGACACGACTGAATTCAATGCATGAAAATGGAGATTCTGAAACTAGTTTCGCGCGGTTGCTATTTATAGCCGGTTCCTGTGGGAAATTTTATCTCCGAAATTGTATCCTTGACTACTAGTTACCAACAATTCGATGACGTATTACAGAAAATTTTTGTAAAGCGGTTTTATTGTACGCAAGCTTATTGTATAATAATGCATTCTGAAACGGAATAACTTGGAATTCTCCTTCCAAATACGATCATGTAGTTAATTGAAGCGGAAGTTGTCGCTCGAAAACACTGTAGTTGAGGAAACTCTGTATTATATATTATATTATATATTATATTATATAAACTGACGTACATACTTCGCGGTGGAAAAGGTCGAGCAAGAGGAACGAAGTCGCACTGTTGTGCGGCCGAAATATGCTTAGCGAAAATCGGCTTACTTATTTCCACGGAGTTGCTTGCTTTTGATGAAACACTGGACAGGATGCATTCGCATTCTGGAGCACATTGTAGTCACGGAACAAAGGAAACTACGAACTGGACGAACAATACACGGAGCAAAGCTGGTGTTACTGTTCGACGAGGTCTATTTGATTATCCTCGCTAGCAATCTTTCCCACCCTTAGGGTCCTTTAGAGTGTAATCATCTCTAACTTGCCGCGGACATCGTTGCGATAACTCGTAAACGCGCAATTCGGTGGAGAAATCAGAGCACGTGTTGCCAGTTTGCTACCGTTACCGGAGGGAAGTGAGGGAGAAGTTGGAAATTTCAGCGCCTTTGGATCGACGTTTGCTAAAGTTTCGGCAACAGCCCCAGAGGCCAAAGATATAGTTTCGTTAGAGAAATTACACGACGGAATTATGCGACACAATCACGATTGTCTATAAATATTTTCTGCTTTTTCTTAGAAAAATCTTTGATTGCGATGAGTTAAGAAATAATTCCAATATTTTTCGAAATAAAAATATGTGATAGAAAGAAAGAAATTTGGATATACTTTGAATATAATTTGAATGTATTTTGTATGTTACAGATACTTGTGAACAACTCCGTCACTGCGCATCGTGATGAGTAAGTTTAATTTCTTTTATTTTTTAATATTATTTAGATAATAGAATAAAAAAATATGTACACGCGTTGTAAGATTAAGTTAAAACCGCGAACTTTCGAAACCAATTTCTTATCCATTGCAATAAAGTTTCCTCTCAACGCACCTTGTGCTGAGATGGAGGCTCTTTGCTGGGCAGCAGCAATGGCCATTGCGTTGAGGCCACTGCTTCCGGGGGCGGCGTAAACGTCATAGGCAGATGCTCGTCTCGGTAACTGGACCGGAAGTCCTAGACCGGTATCAGGATGTGTGGGCTGTGCGCCACCGCCACCCATCGCGGCTGCCGTTTTGATTTCATCGTCGTAGGACCTTTGCCTTGTCACGCGAGATTTACGGCGAATCGTGCCGCCTCCACGGCGAGCACGACGCCGACGTTCCTCTTCGTCATCCAAATCGCCAGTTTCTTGCTCGATTACTTTATCAAAAGAATTGAGAAATATTTTGATTCAACAGTAAATTAAAGCAAAATACGTTACAATCTGACACTATAATTAATTTCGAACAAAATTTTTGTCTCGAAATTTCTTCCATTTGATTGTGTAATATAAACGAACAATTAATTATAAATAATCTATCAAGACAGTCAAATTGTTGAATTTAAAGAAAACGGAAATTTTCTATACTAAATTTATTATACACTCGAGTTTTCTTTATTTTAAAAATGTGAAATTTATTGTCATTATAAATATTTATCTAATTCGATCGTAACGTGGTCTCGTCGCGATCGTAACGTGAAGCGAGGTGTCTACATTGTGGCGCGGAGAAGCAACAGATAACTCACATATTAGCAAGTAAAACGATCCTTACCGCCCGTCTGAGCCGGCATGACGACCCTCTGAGGGCTAGTCGCTCTTCCCCTGTCGGCGGCCTGATGGCGATCGGGCGAGCCGCCTCTTGACTTGCTCTTCCTGTCCAGATCGCGTTCCCATCTGAGCTCCTCTCTCTGGCGCTCCCCTGCAACCTTTCGAAACTACAACATTACACAAAGATTAGGACGCCATGCGGAAGACGTCACCACATGTAGGCCGTGAGTGAGAGCGGGGAAGAAGTCACAACGTCCCCAACAACACGGCAAGGGCGGGCGAGGAATGCAAGTGTGAGATTAGGCAGCACAGTCTGACACCTAGAAGCTGACGATTAGATCGACGCACAGAGATCAGCTGTAACTCTAGGGACTTATGATTTGCATGATTGAGCAAAACTACATATCGTATTCGATTGAATTGAATTGTTCGAATGAAACTATTAATTCTTCTATGGAGAGTTGTTCTATGCGCCGCGGGCTATCAAATACGTTATCAATTTACGAGCGCTAAAGAATTATAAAAGAGAAAGAGAAAGAGAGGGGGAGAGAAAGAGAAAGATAAAGAAAGCAAATGCACATTTATTTCTACTCTGTTTTAATTAAATTAATCAATACATTTGTAAATATCATATTCAAAAGCTTAAAAAAAATTGATAACTAGTTACATCACGTTAAATTGTTTAGTGCACAAACTTATGGATTAGAATCAAATATTGTTTGAAGAACTGGCAGTTTATTTTTACAAACGAAACATTGTACTTTAACATGATGTCGATTCTACATACATCCATAAATTTTACAAAGCTAAAACAGACTTCGTGCCACTCGCAAATTGCGAGAAAGACATTTCGCGTGATACACTTGAAAGTTCTGAAGTTGGTGTAAACTGCTTGTTGAAAATTAATAGCGTCCCCGACACTTGCGGATAATAGGGAGGGGTAGACCGCGCGAACACGACCGAGTGTTCGCGATAATAATGAAATGGCCGCGTCCGAAAATTAACTTCGTCCGAGTTTCGTCACGGCATCTCGTCGCGTGGCATAATTACACGCCGGGAACAATTAAAGCGAGCGAGGTGCGAGACAAGGCACGCGTACGCTCCGCCGTCGAGCAAAGTTCGAGAGGGTTTCGGCATTAAAGCTCCATTAGGGTCAGGATCCGGAGGCAACGGACGCCGTGCGATGCCGCGCACGTCTTTCTCGCTCACCGCGACGAATTCCCGACGGGTGGATGCGCCAGCGATTCCGTTTGCGTGCACCTGTCGCGCGCATAAATATTCACGGTGATGCAGCGCGCGAGCGTGCACCTGGGAAACGTCATTTTAACACGCCCGACGACGAGCGCGTCAAGATGCCATCGTTTCTCTCCCACACGTCGCGATAATCTCCTCTCGACGAAACCGCGTTACAGCCGTACTTTGTGAGTCCGTGCGACGAAACTGGGTCGCCGTTCACGTTTACGACATAACATGCGCCGCAGCACATATCGGCGATTTTCAGAGTGCGAGGCGCGTGCGAGACGCGGAGGATGCATCGGATACTGTGCACGTTGCGCATCACTCAGGATGCTCAGCCAGCGGTAAATTATCCAATAGGCGTAGCCAGCGCGTCTAAGTGCATGTAGGTAGCTGAGAAAGCCAGTGCCGTTATGCAGAGCGCCTCGAAAACGCAAACGCAAGTTTCAAGTTTAATCTGAATAGCGTATCCGCAATTGCACAAGACATTGAAAAATCGCATGACAATTTAAAAGTTGTTGAAGAATCGAAGATTCAATTAAAGCCGCATTCATTCATTTAAATACAAATATTACATATGAATTAAATATAACACAAAAGTGGAATCTTTTCGATCAAATATGAATAGCGAAAACACATTCAGTATAAATAACATTTAGAATTTGCCCGGCACATTTAAAATTAATTTGATTAAACCAACCGTGGCGACCGGATTTTAATTGCGAGATTATTTTTAGCGTCTTTGTTGGTCGTTAATTATTTTTGCGTCATCCTTTAAACATCACGATTGCATTTCCGTAATTTTACCGGTTGCACAACAGTCATTCCATTCCATCCATCATGCGGCCGCGTTAGCTCGCTAAAAACCAGTAGCCGTGACGTGCGAATGGCACCAAAGTGGATTGAATCTTGAGATGGAAAAAGCGCCAACGATAATTACCACGTGGAAGATAAACGTCCTGCCCTAAGCGAGGCGTATCGCGAAAGGTTGGCGCGCGAGGGCGAGCGATAAACTTTAGAATTAGCGTTTGTCCTCGTAAATTCAAGACGCCACTTCTCGGATTTGTGCGCGCCTACGCGTGCGTAAATGCTCGTAGGACGTATTTCATTACGTCAGAACTCCGACAAATCGGATTTACTATTTTAAGTCCGCTTTTTCATGCTTTTTGTATCAAATGTCAAATGAATGATTCGTCGAATGAAAATGACACATGCCGGCCGGTGAAAGAAATTAGACGTAACTTTGTAGATTTATATTTAAAAGAATGTAATAACAATTTGATATCGCGAGAAATAGTCCGCGGAAAGCAGAACGAAAAATTTGAATAGTAATACATAGTTACAAATTTGATTGAATAACAGGAAAACATTTTATAGTTTGATTTTGTCGTTGCAACAATTATTCGGAAAACACAATAACCGGTTGTGAAAACAAAGCTGCGCAGAAAAATTTTGAAAATATATAACAATGGACGGATTTGTTGAACAAAAATTGAAACAAGCAGAACAAAAATAAACATGGTGGAATTTTATGCAAATGCAAGAATTGCGATATTGCAAAAGCTCTAATTTAAATTTTTTCGGCGTAATAAATAGTTGCGTCCGATATATATATACGACTGCAAAGATTTTCTATCCTTTTACTTCTGCCGATATGCTCCTCTCTCTCTCATTTCAATTTCACTCCACTTTCTTTCGTTTCCGCAGTCGTTTCCGCTTGCGCTCGCGTCTCCGATTATTCTGCTAAACGATAAAAACGACTGTCGATAAATTCCCGAGATGAGGTGCCTACTGGTACCACAAAGTTGTCGGTTCATAATAATGTAAGTTTCAGCCCTTAGGGAGTTGTATGTATGGCAATCAATAACTGAAGCTTCAATAAATTTAAAGATATTGACTTGTGTAAATGTCACGTCTTATAAATGAAGTAAGTCGGAGAATATGGAATGTGGGAAATACAGCAATAAAGAACCATCCTCGAGAAATTCTTGAATAATATATTCATAATAAAATTTTAACAAGCAAAATAAGATTGTCAGGATATTTTATTCATATATTTAAATCTTTTATAATATTTTATATGAATAACTAACGAGTATTATTGTCCAGGACTATTTCACGCTATGAAAATAAATCGATAAATCGGCTCCTGAGGCCATCCTCTAAGATCGTAAAACTCATGTGCGCTCTTTATTACAGTGCATTTCCTTCCGGGTTCTCGAAGTTCGTGTCTACGACTGCTACGAGACTGCGTGATAATTGCACGTTCGACAGTTGTCTGTCTGAGTGTCGAGTAATGAGAAGTCTAGTTGCACACACGTTCACCGTATGCGTCGATGTATATTAGTTTCCGAGGCATAAGTGCGTGGGTGCTCCGTTTTCGCGACAAGTGCACATGACCCATGAGCAATGAGATCTCGTTGAGAGTAGTCGAGCTCCGCATCAAGCCCGACATCAACGGAAGCGCATCTCATAACGGAAGCATTAAAGCCGTAAGTGACGAGGACACGGTCGTCGATTTGATCGTTCGAACAATTTTATGATTTCTCATAAGTCACCGTAGATTAATCCGAATAATAAAAGGTATGATAAATAAATCGGTTGATTCAGGCATTTACATTTATTATCATACTTTTACAATCTTTTGCAATTATACTTTGCGGGAAGTGATATAATTTCCATCTTGGGATGATATTTACAAGTTCAAAAACATTCATTGAAGTTAAAATAGTTCAGCATTTAACTTGTTTGATTATCAATTTACCAAGTACATTCTGAGAAATGAATATTATAATAACTTCGCTGGAAGTTGGCGCGAGGTGCGATGTCAATTTTTCCGCACAATTTTCATGCAAATACTATCATCAAGATTGAGATTACAATAAAAGTCAATCCATTACGTAAGCAGCGATGTTTTAAAAAATACGAAAAAAAGATAAAAACTACAAAAACTGTATTTGAGATAGCATAATATTTTCGTCCTTGTACAATCGCCGACTTTACGCCATTACTCGCAATGGAATAATTCGAGATTTCTCTCTCGGCGGACGACTTGCACTTTGTTGCATAATACAGTGACGTCCAAAGAATCATGACGAGTAGCATGAAGTATACATTTGAAATAATAGCAAAGTGTAGCTTAAAGCGTTCAAGCGGACACTGAAAACATGGTATGCGTTGACTCGACAGCGCTAATTCAGCATTCCTAATTTCAAACATAGCGTACAAATTTTTTTTGCTTAACAATATACTGTTAGAATGTTGGATTATACATCTCGCTGGGGAAAGGGAGTTTCGTGCGATAGCAAATCATGAGTAACATCGAAAGCCAGTCAAACGATACGATGCGCACGTAAAGCGTGATTCTTATTTTAACAATTTTAAAAATTATACTTTTGTCTGTGTTAAACTTTATCGCAAAGAAATTTATTTTATTACATTCAATACACACTAATTTTATTAAGAGAAAAAACATCTAGAATGATAACATATATCAGGAAATAGTTTTTGGCAAGAAAAAAGTTATATTTTTATCGTTGAACAGCTAATGTATAATTGTTTCATCACCGTGGTTTCACTTATAATCGTTTTCTATAATATTTGTTATTTAATTATAACATATTACAAATTAAGACTGTGATCGAAGTAATTATGCATCTATTCGCATTACAATATAAAGCGATCAGAAAAATTATTCTGCGTATTTTGAGTAATTATCATCGTATCTGTATTATTTAACTCTTAAAATTTAAACGTTTGTGCTAGCGAAGCGTGACTTAAATTCTCGCTTACCTTCTCTAGTTCCTTGAGACTAGCCGGCGAAACGTCGGAATGCCTTCGGATTTCCGGACTCCGTGGTGGTGCCAGTCCGCTTCCGAGCGTGCCTATTTGACTTCCAGTGGGACCGAGCCGTGCGTCACTGTGCCTCCTCTGGAGAGCCTCCAGAATTGGCACGTCCAGCAGCGAATCTGTAGATTCCTGTGTCATAATCGGCTGGTCCCTCGAGGCAATCTTTCGACGACAGACGCTACATCGCCAGGAAGACTGTTTTTCCGAGAGAAAAGCAATTTTTTAATCATTGGCGCACGTACACTTTTATTACGTTTAATAACTTTGCATTTCCAATATTATTCTTTAATTTCTATGTTCGATTTTGATGCAAATTAAATTGTCAATTCGGTCACTTGTGCTATTTATCAACATAAATTTAAAATTTAAGATAGATTTAATAGCGTGGTTTCCAAATTATTAATGCAGATTGAATTACGCGATGGAATTTAATTAATAAAGTGCAATACGTGAAAAGTACAATGAGTGAGATAAAAAATACGTTGAATTAATTAATGTAAAGAAAATCATTTGCATTTATTTCTCAAAGCAATTTTATTAGGAATCTAGGAATATATAAATTTCTTTGCTCACATAAAATTATGCATTATTTTTATTTTGATAGACGCAGTAAAATACGAATATTATTAATTTTACATTTTATCGTAAAAATAAATTTTTTAAATCATGTCTTAATATTCATGGAACATTTACATAATTAGATTATATCTGACTTGAATTTTATAATATGCGAGTCTAATAGCAAAATTCATGTATTTCGTGAAAGGAAAGTTATTTTTCTTTTTTGCCTGCCGGGAGCATGAAAAATTGTGAATGGAAAGCGTATGCAAATCTTGAAATTTACTAAATGTGCATGTTTCCATCATATTCGGATGCGCCGATTTTTTTCTTCGCGATTCTTCACGATACGACGTAACGCGTTTTATCAAGTATAAAATAATGCATATTTTAACAAATTTAGCTCGGCACGGCAGTATTATGCCATATATTAGAAACGAGTGGAGAGGCGCGATGAATAGATTCAGAATGATTACGCACATTCTACTGAATTTGGGTTATCCACAGGAACGTCGTGCAAGGGCACACTATTCATTCGGTAATCCGACACGAGATTAAATGTCGACGCACGATCAGTTGCGTTCATTTACCAAATTTATCAATTACGCGTGTAATTAGAATTAACGCGCGATCAGCGCGTATCAACGATCAAAGGGCAAACAAATTCGTAGCCATTAAACCCAATTAATTTTGGGCGCGATTAAATGCGGAGCGAATTCGCTCAAATCGCGGATAAACTTTCGTTCAATCCTTGTGTTTATGGTAATTTGAGCAAAAATTTAAATCCGCAAAGGTTGTTTTTTTGCTCCTTTTCTTCCATTTCCACGGATTTAATTATTGACGCGAAACGGCGCGACGGTCCGAGCAACATAATTGTTTTATTGTTTTCAGAAAAAAATATCGAACAGTCGTGAGGTGAGAAACCCTAATAATTTTCCACGGTAATTTTCTACACGTGTTACGTTGCTCTCCTTTCTACCTCTCATGCTTCAATAAATATAATTTATTTTTAATATCGTTTTAAAAAACCTTTTCTGAGGACTTGAAAAATTAAATGAAATTTACAATTGATTCCATAATTCAGAGTCATTGATATTGAGGATCACCGAACTTAATTATAACGTATAAATAAAAAGAAAAGTATTTAAGAAAAACAATAATAAAATATCACAATTACTTTTAAAATTAAATTTTCACGTTTGTAACACGGTCTCGGTTCTTCTCTCGTAAACGCCTCTGTGCTTTTTTTTTGTTTTGTTTTGTTTGTTTCGGCAATTGATTTGCGCCAGACCCCGTTTAATCTCGTTTTACGGTAATATTTACCGGCGAAAAACAATGAACATGCCGGTTAATTAGAAATGGAGACGTGCAAACTCACCGGATCATCGGAATTCGTTGTCGTGGAATACGAGGCGCAATCCTCGCAGACCTTGTGTTGACACTCGCAACAAGTTCGCGAGACTTCCTCGGGGCAGAACGATTTCCGGCATACCCTGCAGTCATCTCCGCTGCTTGTCTTGACGCCGGTTTCCGACTTTCTGGAACGTCAGACCGATAAACTTCGTTAAAATTCAAACTTTTATTATTCACGGCAATTTTTCCGAGTACGTCCTAGATTATCACGCTATGATCGCACATACAATCATACAATTATAATGCTATTGTACTGGAAAATATTACAGCATAATTATGAATAATCTTTTTCCGTAATTTGCAGTGTGTAATTCGGTTATTGAATTCGGTGGGATTGATCGTTCGTAGAATAGCACGCTCGTTATTTAAACAGGCGCGGGTTACTTAGCTGACCGACGACGAATCAATTCCCGGTCCTTAATGGACGCGTCGTATTAAATATCGCTCGGCTGGGCGCACGTGCAAACCGAGCCGAGCAAACGATAGAAATAGAGGTGAGGTCACATCCATTTAAACTGACAGTGATCTTCATGGATCGTCTTCTATACGGATAACGATCTACTCTACCGCGCGCTCATTCGCACGTATATCCCCAGTGAATAAATCTGCTCGCGTGAGATAGCGTAGTGGATTATAACTGCGATGGGGGTTATTACACGACCAAAACATTTTCAAATAGATTGCTACGTCTGATGGAACACAAGTTACACTTTACTACGCAAATATTGAAACTATTCGAATGATGTTTATTTAGAGAATGCTATGACTACTTCAATAAAATGTATAGAATATCAAACAGCTGTTGCAGCATTGTTCGTTTGATGCCAAAATTGTAATATTTTAGATATTGTGTTATTTTACGCACAAGTTTTTCACAGAAACATCAATTTGCAAGTATTGTAATTTGAATTACATATAATTCAAATTAATAGTATGTTTACATAATTTAATTAATTACGTAAAATTGCGATGTGTGTTAAAATAATTTTAAGTTTAGTATATTATATTTAAAGCGTAGTGTTAAATGGATCTATATCTAGGAATTGCAGATATTAAAACAAATTAAAAGTTAAAAAAAGTTTGAAAGTCAAATTAAAAAATAGCGAATATTCAGCGCAAGGTCAACATTTTCATTCGTACCGTTGCAAGTGACTTTTGTCAAGGATTAATTGCTTTCAGATGTACCAATTTGAATGCAAATAGAGTGCAGTTTGGCAGGCCCTTTGGGAAGCGAAACTTCGACGGAAAAAAAACGCAATACTAGATTTTTACAGTTCCGGAAACAATTCCAGGCGTTTTTTTTCCGTTTTTGTTATTCGTAAAATTGTACGTACAATCAAGTTAACATTTTAATATTTCGAATTAATAAATATGCTTCCATACAAAAAGGATTAAATTTTATCACGTAATAAAAATAAGTTTTTAATTTTGACATTTAAAATAAGCAATCCTATAATTAAAATCTATAAAAGTTTCGTTTTTTCATTTATATTTATTTGTTTGTTGCATTGATATTACGCGCGCATATAATTGCACACACAGCAAATAACTTGCTAATAATCAACTGTAATATAATATTCAAAGCATCATGATATATACATTACGATATAGTAATACCGTTGCTGACGTAAAGTATATATTCGAATAATTAATCAACTCGAAATTAAACGGAAACGAAGAGATATCTTATATGTAAACAATTGCAAAAGAATCGAATTACCCGCTAAATTGCTGTTTTTACGCGAAGAACATAAGCGTATAATAATATAATATCTAAAATGTTATGTATTTCAACATTAATTGAATTGTAATTATACAAACTATGATGTTTGGCGGCGAGAGGAAGTACAAGACCTCCGATAAAGGTGATAGGGATATAAATGATATGTTGCTGAAGCAAGATATTAATTTTAGTCGGCTAATACACTTGGAAAGTACGATATTCCTTGCACGTGGTGATAAAAAAAAATAATATAAGTAACATTTTGTATATGTTGGACTTTGGAGAGAGAACTTACGGTTTCAGAGATTCAATCGTCGAAGTCTCCTCTTTAGGCTGAATGTCCTCCACCGGGGTGACCTTGGCCGGCTTCGTTACTGAAAAAAAGGAGTATCTTTTTTTATTATGTTTTATGAAAAGCCTGTGCCATTTCTATTCACGGGTTTTTTTAGAAGCTATGTCCTCCGGTGGTCCCCGCAATTCGAATCGATTGCATAGAAATTTTTTCTACCCTTCTATTGCCAGAGTCTTTAAAGTTCCATTCGGAAGCCTTCAGAATATATTTCCGAGAGGACTCGTTAAGTATTCAGTCCCTCCTTTCTTCCAGAGAAGGAAGAGCGCCGCGGTGATTTTATCTTTTGCCGAAGGCATCTGTAATCGACCGGCGGCGTTATCGCGCATCTTCGCTGGAAAACGATCGCGCAATTTCGAGGGTCGGCCGTTATAGAAACGAGTTTCCGATGTGTCCCGTAGTATACTTCGTCTATCTCTTTCTTTTCTCTCTGAAAGATATAGCTGCGTAAGAAATGATAGGAATCGTAACCGAATTGCGCCTTAATTTCATTTACATCGCGAAGAAAGGAAACGTCGTATTCAAATTAGATTATTACAGTAATATTCATTTGTACTGTTTTGCTGCTTCGTCGCTTTCGAATTAATGAGAGTTTTTAAAGAAAAATATTAGGTTAAAGATATTCTTACTAGTCTCAAGAATAGTTTCTCTGTAACAAGAATATGCACTGTACCGCCGAGTAAAAAAGTGCTTCTGCAGCTTCTCAATTAACCCAAATATTCTGGAATTTAATTGGATGATCCATAATTTTTTTCTCCTTGCAAGCATTGTCGCAGCATACATTAACAGAATGAAAAAAATCGTGGATAAAGTGAGAAAAAGAGGAATTTTACTGTCTGTCGCGAACGTACTTTTTTCTTGTCTTGTTGTAGTATTTATTTATTTCAAAAATATTTTAAAGATATAGAATTTAACACAATAGTTTATAAAATGCATCGAAAATTTAACCAAAATTTTCCGAAAATTTTACATTTACGATAGTTTTTTATTTATATAAAATCTGTTTTGCTTTTTTAGATTTATATAACTTGTTTATTATTTTCTTTGCAAAAGATAAAAATACAGTACAAATTCCTGAGATTAAATGTGCTAGAAACTAATATTGTAAGAGATAACTGTCTAATTTTTATTAATTTGAACTTTACTCTATTATAATTATTAATATTTTGTCAAAAATTTACATAAAATTGAAGAAAGCTGAAAAAAGTTATTATTAAAAACCTATAGGCTTTATAACTCGACAGCAACATGATGTGAAAATAAAAAGAAAACGTATTGCTTTACAATTAACGTTATTACTCGTTGAAGCGATGTACGTTGCAGTACAACTTTTTGCGAAAGAGTTTCAAATTTCGAAGAGAAAAATGCGAGAGATCACGCCGGCGGCGATGAGAAATCGGGAAAAATCAGATTCGCACGCGAGTGTGCGGTGCATGTAGTTGGATTAGATTGCTCGTGGATCCAATTAAACTTCTAGAAAAACCGACCAGATGTCCGTGATCCACCGCATATCACTTTCCTTGCCGCGGAAATTAACCGTCAGATTGAATCTTACGTGAGTTATGACATGATTTGGAAAATGCAGTGTAGAACGTCGTTAAGCAGTTAATTCTGCACGTTTCCGTGCATGAGTCGTGAGAATTACCCATACCAGTTTCTCGATTAGATTATTTTTTAATATTTAATTAAAGTTAAATCTTAAATCAAATTTTTATTTGTACAGAATCTTCTTTAAGGCGGATCTGTGAAGTTAGCACGACATTTTATTAATAAAAAGAAATTACGGTTCCAGTAGCACTTTTCATGGTTCTACAGTTTTTTATAAAAATAAAAATTACGGAACTTTTTTTTTATTTTTATAAGGAATTGTAGAACTATGAAAAGTGCTACTAGAACTGTAATTATTTTTTTAAATCTTAATAGAATGTCGTGCTAACTTCACAGATCCTTTCAAGGCGCAATCATAAACTAAAATTACATAATTTTTTTACTTGTATAAATATTACATACTTGTATAAATATTATAAATAATATTTACGGGATAATTAATATTTAATTTTTAATGTAAATTAAAGATACAAATAATAAGTAATAATAAATTATTATATCTCTTATAATGATTTTAAATAATAAATGTTTAATATTAAATTTTTAATGTATTGACATTTTTGTAATTAAATTATGCTAAAAATTTTATAATAATAATATATAATAATTATTATATTTTATAATAATGAATATATAAAAATAATTTAAATAAAAAGCAAAAATTGATTCAATTTTCATGTAAAGATTAGAAAATTATATTTTAGATGTAAAAATTACATTTTTATTTTGGTACGTTTTATAAAGCGCTATAATGTGCAATACAATGTAGTAAGAAAACGCACGTAAAATTTTACTTCTACAATAATTAATGTTTTTCTTTACTAATGTAATAATTAATAAGAAGAATAATTTCATTTAAAGGTATGTAGGTTTATAAGAGAACAAAATTATTGGTATATTATTCAATCAGTCTCTATACTTTTTGGTTGTGACAAACACCATCGTAACAACTGAATTTTATTAACGAAATGAACTTTTTTTTTCGCGTTGGTACCTTGCGCGTTCGTAGAGACGGAAATTGCGTTTGCGTTTCTGTCAACATTAACAAAGCGGATTACTGACGTACAAACACAACGGAAGAAATCCTTCCTGAACGATGTGTAAGAAATGTCGGAATTTTCCTTCTTGTAGCGCTTACTTCGTTATCGTCGGGATTCACCGAGTCACGTGAGAGTCCTGATTATCCGTTCTTTGACAGATCGTTATCTGGCTAATTAGACGAAAAATTATCGCGGAAACATTTTTATATCTCAAGATTTATAAGATGTGTAGGATTTATCTAAGAGATTTATCTAAGAGATTTATCTAAGGATTTATCTAAGAGAAGTGAAAAAAGACTTTAATTAAAATTTATAACTTACTTAAATAACTATTTAGTTGAACATGTCAAACAAATGTAAAAAACTTACGGGGTATTTGCATTAATAAAATAACACATATAATATCATTGCTTTACTTTAAACAGATTTGTCGTTTGTTAAAATGTATGAGATTGATATTTTTGTTACAGTTACGTTTTATATAATATAAAATATCTTACGAAGCATGCTATTTTTAATATTTTTGGAACTTCTATCTCTGGAGTATAATAAGTTTATATATTGTATATACGAAGTCAACGTTTCCCAATTTTCCTGAAACCGCGTTAAACCGTTTAACGTTTTGAGGGATGTAAATTCTAACCGAGCTTGCCACATTGCTGTTGACGCGTTATCATTCTCTCAAGACTCCAAAATAGCTATAGAAGAGACAGGAGAGGTTTCTATCACCTTGATGGAAAGCTCAACGGTATCTCCTTGAGTTTCCAACAAAGGCAACTCGAACTTTCTCTTAGCTTCAAGTTTTCGGAAATGTAGTGGTCTGCTGCAAACACGCAAGATTTAACTTTCAGAGAGTTATATAACGAGGAAGATCGATCTTAACCAATTCGCACCATCGTTTTATATATAGATTATCTGTCTGAATGAGAAATAAACATACTCGAAATAAATCTCAAAACAAGAACACAAATAAACAAGAACTGATAAACCTATCATTAAAATTCTATTGAAAAATATATATACGGTGATAGATATGTCTAGCAAGATGCATGGATATTTTTTAGGAATTAATTAACACAATAACAGGGACTTTTTTCAAAAACATTCTTTTTCATTTAATTAGTATATTTGCAATAATAAAAGTTTTGTTTTCAAATTTTTCCGTTAATTAAGCTTTAATTAATAAATATTTTTGTTACTTTTTCACTATTGAAAGTTATTAAGTTGCTTTATATCTCTGCGAATATTTATTTCTTTTTTTGTCAGCAGCGCTTGATAAATAGCTGAATATAAATGCTCTCCAATAAATTGTTACAGCTTTAGCAACAAGAGTTAAATATTTTGAAAAAAAAGATATTTTGCGTGATTTTGTATCAGCAATTCTTGACACTTTTCAGTCAGTGAAAATCAGATATGTCGTAGATAGAAATATGGTAAACGCAACGTGCATTTTTTCCCAATTTATTCTGTAAAATCAATACATCCCGCGATATTTATGTTGTCTTTATGATTAGGCGTGTTTTCGATATTTTTCCGATGAACATCAAACACAGAACTTTCGAACGGATAAAAATCTAGAAGTTCACAATCTTTTAAAACATTTCATTGGCATAATTTCGACTGCGAACTTTAAGTAAGCCTGCGAAAACTTGCGAAAAGGACAGAGGTCACTTTGTTGACATGATGAAAAATGTAGTAAAAGAAATAATTTAATAAAGAAGAAAGAAATGAAGTATTCGGTTTTATCAAAATAGTCATATGATAGAAAAAGGATATTTTTGATATTGCAAATAATTCCGGAGATATATGTTGATTGCACGTAATTTTTCATAATGTTAAATGCACATAAGTGCACATAAGTCACGCTCGTTTACCGTGATATTATATTACATATTTGCCGCTCGCGCGCTTAATACGCACATGATAAATTTTATCGCAGCTTTTGATGCGCGACGTGTGCAGGAAAAAAATTTATTAGCGTTTTCTCTATTAGCGTAAATCCATCCAATTTCGCGCGCTCATACGGGTAGCACTATGTTTAGACGCAAAGAATAATATTTCATACGCATTAATTCCGATACCGTTCGGATCGACTATGTATCACTGACCCTCGACCATCGACGAGTGTTTTTTAACGGTATTTTCGAACGGCAATGCAATCGCCAATAATATCGCTCCAGCCTCGACCATTATACGCTAAAAAATATAGCGAGAGACGTGTAGCTCGCAAATATTTGTCGCGCGCATAGTGGCTTGGTTTTCGTCGAGTTTTCATCGTTCCCTAATAAGCCGTGCGTGCGTAATTGGATACACGACATATTTTTGGTATCGCCATCGGCCGTTGCAGCAGAAGGACGGTCGATATCGTCGATTGACATTGCGCCCGATTCAGTGTACGATAAACGGACACGTAATTAAAGCCTCTGATCGCTGATGTAACATTTCCGTACTATTAGAGATAACGCAGTCCTGATGACCTATTTATAGCGTTTGTGCAATGCAGCGCAATGCAATGCAATTAATATTTAAACTGTAAGTGTAGTAATTATTTGCGATTGTTGTTAATCATTAAATAAAAATATAAAATTATTCGAAAATATAAATTTATTAGAATATTTGACGCTTATGTAAAATTATTTTATCCATAAATAAAATGTTACATAATTGCCAGAAATAATGCTCCATATTTTTTAATAAAAAGTTAAAGCTTGTTTTTTTTTTGCGCCCGCATGATATCGTCGGGACGATATAAGAGTATCGAATAATGTTTAATAAATTTTAAATATCTTGCGATGAATTTTTTCCGTTATCCACGCACAATCGATCCATAAATTATTCCTAAATTTTTATCGGCAATCTGTATATCTAACATTTTGGGAATATTCTAGTATAAAATGTTCAATAAATTGGAATTTTTTATCAAATAATTTTCTTCAACTTGAATCAATTAGTTGAATCATTTCTGTTGAAAGTTCAACATATTTATTTTCTGATTTTTGTTGAAGCAAAATATAAAAATTTGCGTTAGCACTATTTATTTATTCGTGAGTCAACATTTAAATGAAATTATTGGCAGTATCATAAAAAGAATGTATTGATCTACTAACTTTGCTCAATCATTTTATTAAATTTTTTTATAAGTTTATTCTATGTTCTCTTTTTCGCGAATGTACGCGATAAATTATTATGGCAAGTATTATGGAATTAATATAAAAACGGAATAAAAAGTACCGTGCCGAATGATTGCTGATAGAGAAATCAATTTAATACAATGGAATGTGCAAATGTTGAGCTAGAATTAATATTAAATATATTATAGTGAACAATATGTATAGTTTAGTAGTGTTTGCTCTCAATCAAGACTCATTATATAATCGGTTATTGATCATTTCCTGCTAATGAACCACAACATTACATGACTATATATTTGCTCAATTATCTCTTATGAGCAACACGTATTTTTATAAACAAATGCTTTGTTAAACAGCTTATAATTTGCATACATAGCGATGGCACTGCTTAACTGAACGATGAAGAGAAATTATCGAATCGTAATGGGGCGTGCTACTGCCCGACGGCGATGCGCCATTGGTGGGGTTATTGCTCGTAATTGATCTCCAGGTACAATCACATTGTTAATCATCGCTGTAATTAATGGAGTAGCAGATCGGCAGCGAATTGGCTGGTTGAATGGAATACCGTTGAATCAGTAGTCACAAAGTGTATCTTGATGAGACTGACATGTATATATCAAGATGATCATAAATTTTGACAATACTCGCGTCCGAGCGCAAAACAGTCATTGCCGAAAATATTGCGGCGTAGATACACGATTGGGGCGATAGAAATCGATAGAAATATGAATACTTGCGGCTTGAATTTTTTTAACAATTGAATGCGATGATCCAAAGCACCATGCAATTTTTTATTGCTCGAACTAGAAAGGAAAGTATTTTGAGATGATTTTAGCGATTCAAGAAAACAGGATACATGTTTCAAAAGATATTTTAGAAAATGAGTTCTAGAAATGCTACGAAGCATGGCGTCTCCATGCATATATACGATCTCAAGGGGAACTATTTTGAAAGAAGCAAGCTGGTGTTTTTGCAATTTTATAATAAACTATTATATGTGTCAAATTTTGAATTTTTATCAGACCTCAATTACAGTGCAAAAATCATCATTTGTGTAACGTTATAAAATATCGCCACAGCATCGAAATTATTACATTACAGTGCGAAATATCGTGATTGCAAAGCGATTTAAAAGTAATAAGAAGAGAGATACTATATTGGCAAGTGAACTATATATGGGAATAAATGCAAGGGCGGAGATTGGAATCGGTCGTATACTGCCGTTGAATTATACTGCGATAATGCCAGCTTGTGAACATTAAAGATGGCCCATTCAAGCGCTCCTCTCCTCGTCATCTTTCAAACGCGCGAACAAAGGCGCGACGTTCCCGCCGGATATGCGAATCATGTGAAATCCATCTTTCAATGGAAAGGCAGCTTGGAAATTTCAAACCGTTCATACCTCCCATTCTTACACTTTTGCGCAGTGTCTCTGACAATTTCAAGATTTCTTTCATCGCTTATCTTCTTTTGTACCAATTCTTCTAGCTCCCTTCTCTTCGCATATTTTTTCGTAGTGCATATTCCATTTAATCGGATATTATATTGTTTTGCAGAAAATGGAATGCTGTGCTCGTACGACGGAAAGATAGAACAATTTAGTAAACGCAGTAAAAATTGTAGACGTTTAATATAAATATGCATTTATTTTAGCAAGCATATCAATATACCAGATTGTACGACAAAAATGCTTTGACATTTATTGTAAAATTCCATATTATGAATTTAACTGAAAATTAGTAAAATATAAAATAATGAATAATTGGGAATAATTATTGTTGTACTTATCTTTGCTTTCTCATTTCATTGTAAATGCAAATAAGTATAGAATTTTTTGAGGACAGCCTTGAAAGGCACTTGCCCAATAAGAGGATCAGAAAATACATCTTCGAAAATCGAAGATTGTAGTCATACTTGGGAAGCATAAAGAAACGCGCTGCTAAGAAAGATTACAGAATGAGAGTAGTGGGTAGAGAAAAGATATATATATATATATATAAATGGAAAGAGAAAGAGAGAAAAACAGAGGAAAATGGAAAAGAAAGGGGGAAGAGAGAGAGAGAGAGAGGAGAGAAAGGAGAAAGAGAGAACAGGATGAAAATCGATAATAGCGGGTCGAGGTTAGATTTAAATTTTACGTATGACGCACGTAAGCATGGGCAGGATGATGAAGGCGCGCGAGAGACAAGTAGATTCCTTCGCGTTGACTCAACGAAACCCTGGGGTGTTGATTTGGGTTTCCAAGTCACTACTAACCCTTAACGGAAGAGATTCTGCGGAAGATCCTTTGAGAAGGAGAAATGTCGCAAAGTCAGAAATCCACAGAAACTAGTCTTAATCGGCCGATAAACACGAATTAGCTGTGAAGTAACTCGCACGACGGCGATTTGTGATAACCTACTTAAGCTCTAACTAGAGCAACAGCTTTACTGTTACTTCAACAGCGATAAGAGATAAGACTTAGTTATATTTTACATTGTAATGATGAAATCATGAGACGTATATTTCGTTAAAGATATAAGTAATGTATAAAAACAAGAAACAAATACACATACATACACATATAATGTTAAAATATTATAACAGGTTTTTAAAATTCTCACACATCTCATTGTCAGTTCAGCGATTTTTCGCAAAATACAATATTGTTCTTCATCTCTGTTCCCTCACTCGCTTTTCTTATTTGCCATATCTCACTCTTTGTAATGTTTTTGTTCTTTTAGATAAAATTGGAAAACTGAAAGATAACAGATTTGGCAGCGTAGATGAGAGCCAAGAAAAATCGCAGGAGAACAAGATGAAGAAAAAATGACTACATGTTTCCAAGAATAGAAGAAGCGTTAAGACAAATGCGGAGCGTCTCAAGAGGAATACTTTATGGGCGACTAAAGTGGAAATGCTGTAAGTTTTGCAATTAACTTTTTTTTCAACAGTTCTACGAATTTATGAATCCCATTTTGTACTCGAAAATTTGTGGCCGCCATTTTACCAAACATGATTTACCAACCAACATTTGCGCGGAAAATCGCAAAGCGTATAATAGCCTTTTCTAATGGACAATCGCAAAATCCTAAATTGATACAGAGCGCGTCATAAAGTACGAGAAAGAGTACGTGCAAGATACGCAAACGGGTTCTCGCGGGAGTTGCGGCGGATATTATATCGCACTCGCGCGAAGCTGTTCGATGGAAAGTGGTATGCTCCAGCGTGCTCCAGGTGTAAATAACAGTTACCATCGTATCGCGTCCCCCTTTTCTGTCGCGCATACCTCCAAAAGCATTCGTTTTTCCTTGTATTACCCGACTGTTCGTACATGTCTTCATGTATGTGTCTTCATGTATGTGTCTTCATGTATGTGTCTTCATGTATGTGTCTTCATGTATGTGTCTTCATGTATGTGTCTTCATGTATGTGTCTTCACTCCTTTTCGAATATAAGCTCGCATTTTTCATGGCGGTATTCAGTCCTTCGGTTTTGCTGCGAATTCGCCGCCTTGTTGAAACTTTTCACTCTCTCACAGAAGTGTTCGACCTTGCCCGGGTTTTGTCATTTATTCGACTTCAGGGCTCCATCAGTCCCCGCTCCGCGGATCACCTTGCGTTATCCAGCCAATCTCGTAAGTAACTTAAATTTCTGCCGAGGGAGCCGAGTAAAAAGGGATGTCGGCGACCGTTTTTTATTTACGTAACCCTTCCTCCGGTAATACGCTCATGATACCTTTCAGTATCTTGAAATTGTTCTACTTTTTTTCTCCGCCTACTGAATTACGCTTACATAAACTGGGTTTACGATTATTACTTGAATTAGATTTTTATAAATATACATTTGTTAATTACTATATATTTAGATTTAAAAATATTTATACTACTTTTTTTACGATTTAGAATTTGCAGTGAAATCTCTTTAGTATTCCAGAAAATGTTATTCCAGCCGACGGATAAACCTCTTTTAACAAAATCGAGTGTAAAGTTTAATTTTTTCCATTTCAAAGAAATCACAAAAGTAGTTTTATTCAAACATAAACATATATGAACCACTCAAAAGTCAAAGTGACTAACTCCATCAAATAAAACTTCATCAATTTATTTGATTTATGAAAAGTTAAGCACCAATTATGTGTTTTGGTACTAAAATTGGAAAAAGTTGAGTTAATTAGTTTGGCTTTTGAGCGGTTCATATATAAAAGAAGTTATATATATAATTTTTTTTATATTTAAACAAAATCTATAAATATATTATTTATAAATTTTTTATATGTAAAAGAAACTACTTGACAGCTTGCAATTTTACATGAAACATGCCAATGCACTAAATAATTTCGGTTATAATATCGCCATATATACCTCATTCCGAATAAGTTTTACGAATATTTAGGTTAAAACTACTTCTATAAGACTGATAGATACAATAGGCTTATTATTGTTATAAAGGAAAATTTTATTACTGATTCACAATTATATTTCATCCGTTTAGTAGATTGATGTTTTATGAGTTTGTATAACACATTCAGTATTCTACAGTATATTAATTATTATAATTAGAGTCGGCAGAGTTTGGTCTTGTAGGAAGACAAAATGGAATATCATTCATTTATATCTCGTTAGTTAAGCGATTATCTAAGAAGTAAAATCGTCTTATTCGTCGGGTGAACTAGCGTGTTTCGCAAGAGTTTCGTCGGGAATATTTTGTTCTCTTATTTAAGACCGGATCGGGGAAGTTTAGTGGCTATAGTGGAGTCTGCAAAAGATTATGGGCGAGATTCCCGGGGAATTCGCGAGCTGTGAAGCTCCGTCAAGAGACGAATCGAATCGCTGCGCAGTGTCCAGGGACGCGAGGCACGCGGGGAGAGCGGATTAATTAGAACTGCCCGTTTCGGGGGAGCGACATTGATTCACTTTCGTTTACGTCTGATCGTCTGTGAATGCGATTAAAGGCTTGAACATCATTACTTAACGATCACGTGAACAAAACGTGTATTAGCTCCAAGAAAATAGGAGATCGATCTTTATGGACAACAAGATAGGTTTCAATCTTGTCCAAATATTATCCCTTCCTTCTCACATGTAGTATATTCTATCAAATAATCGTAGTTCTTATCAAGAAAATTATATGCCATGATTTTTAGTGATTTAAAACAATTTATAATCGAATTTTTATTAATTGTTTGACGGTATAAAAGAATTTGTTGCGCAATAATTTGATTGATTAAAATCCAATTCAACATTTTATAAGTTTCCATCGCGGTTTTAACGAGTTTAAAACAAAACTTGACGTTACCCCGTTGCTCTATTATGTCTTCATGATGAAGTGCACTAATTAGAAGATACGCTAGCGGTACACAATAGGATTTTTCGTGCTAAATCGCATGTAAGGCACCTTGTTAGCCAGCCGTGCTGACTACGCTACGAGAAACGTTGTGTAGTGCGTGTTGTGCTTGCTACATGCTAGAGTTTGATAATAGATCCGATGCTATTTTCGCTACAAGATTCGCTGCTTATCTGATTAATTTACAATGAATATTTATACAATTTCTACCGCTTGAAAAAAGAAATTTAATTGCACGCTTCTCGCGAAAACTCCATCACATTCAATGTTGAAAACACGTTTCAAAGAAGTACCATCTTGTTTTATACGCGCGCGCACACCAACAAATACAACTGTTATGCACCTTCTGCTGCAAGATTGCCTTCTACGCTCGCAATCACAAGCATTACAATAACAATGGCCGTCATGGCAAAAATGTATGCGTTACTTTTGTATAGCACTTCGTATCTTATCCAAAAGCGCAGAAATAGTTCAACAATATAATATTCTATTATTGTATTATTGACTTCGTTTGACTTAAACGAAACACGAATATAAATGCGAGATACAAATAAAAAGGAAAAACTTCTGGCACGATTCACGTCACGAAACGAGAAAAGAATAAGCTCCTGTAGGGAGGAAAACTTTCTTCGCACCCCAACGAATCTCTGTAATTTAAATCCCGCGTCGCCGAGGTTAGCTCGTCCGGAGAGTATTTTTACCACGCTCCCACTCTTCTTCGTTAGCGACTTGTTCCTCGGATCGAAGTAAAATAAGCTCTCGATGTCCCGGCGAAATCTCTTCGCGTTTTCTCGTCCACGTCGCTCTCGAGAGATTTCACGTTCTGTCTTCTCGATTAGAGGATTTTCGTAATCGAATATCGTTTTTTTTTTTATTCAGCAGAGCAACACTTGGACAAATTGTGCACTCTTCGCTTTCGCGGATTATACTGTCAGGTCCTTTTATTTCGCTTCGCAAGCGCCGCGATAATCTGCAAAATGAGTGTAAAATTTTATGAATAGCAACCAATTGACGCGCTGCGATCCATAAAATCAGTTCCAGGCTTAACTCTCGTCACCGATCGATGATGAAGCGTTCGATTATTGGGCCCTCGAGTGTCCTCCGAACGAGTGTCTCTCGTTTAATCGGCTATGAATGATGCAAACGTATTCTCTGTGTATTTCGGTATATTCCCTTGAACGTTCAAAGTAACCTTTAAACTTTTGACACCTTTGCAAGCGCAGTCATAAGTTGGGATTTTCTGAGTATGCGGGATCCCATGTCGGCAAAATGAATAATGTAAAAAAAATTAGGGTTAATTTGCGTTACACTTTTAGCGAGGTAAAGTATATTGAAGTCTAATGTAAACACGAGATTAATGATGTTTGCTCATTATGGTAAGATACAAGGTCGAATGATTCTAAAATATTGTATTGTTAAACCGATATTAAAAAACCATCAATTAAGCGAAAGCGCGGAGCAAAACAGAACACGAGTTCATTCATTTGTGGATAGCAATAGCTTATTTTACAAAACCAAACAATAAAAGCTCTTGATAAATCGAAAATGTACTTGACAATGCCGAACGCTGATAAATTGCGGCACGTTGTTTCTTTAACTCGCCATATAAATCAAAATAGATTGCGCGTCGTATCGCGATATCGCTGGCGATTGCATGCGGTCGCGCAGATGCGTCGAGTCCATTATTGCAATAGCGATACACCCTGCGCCCGGTGCATTCGTCTTTAATATCTTTCACGGCGGCGAAGTACGTGGCGCACGGCACTTTCCATCGTGCAAAATGAGAGAAAAAGGAAAATGCACGCCGATGAAAAGCGCGCGGAAACGCCCTTGCCCGACTGTCCTCGATCCCCATTGGCCTGCCCGCGCTATATATCTCTCTCTCTCCCTGCATCTCCACAGACACGCACACACACATCCTCTCTTACACGGCGTCCAGCCGTATAATTGGACAAACACGGCCCATATTTATGCAAGTGCTATCCGGCACGAAACGCTGTTTGCATACTGCACGCATGGTTACGCACAAATATAAATTCTGCGGATTCGATTCGCGCGAATGCCGTGACCAAGACATCGTCGTAAAATAAAAGTGCTCGCAGAAATGATATCGTTCGAGTATAAATGTCTGTATTCCGCAGCCAGGTCAGACACCAACGCGAGAAAAATAGGAGACGGAACGAATGTAATATGATGCGATAAGAAATTACCGAGGGAATGTTGCAAAAGAAATTTATGACTCCGGTTGTATAACTTTCAAGCGTATTTTACAATACGTAGCAGTAATTTACGGGATCGTTAATGTTAATTGAACGAAGTATGAAGTACGAAGGAAGTGTATATAAAAAAGTACATTTCTTGAAAATGACGCATTAACGGAGGTTCTAAAAATCAAGTATAAGATTTTGATGTTGAATCTTTTTTTCTGAATAATTTTATTATTTTGATGTGAAAAAAGCTAATATTGATGAATAAACATTAAACCTGCTTTTATAATAATTGCTTGCGGTGTAACAAATGCACGCATTGCGTGCACAAACGTCAAGAACTAAGGCATCGTAAATAAAAAGAAAACTCACCGTTTCCCGTAGCTATGATGTTGCCCAGCTGCCACAATTTGCTTAAAGTTTTTCCACTTTCCTCTGGTGTAACTGACCCCGATGCACCGGCTTCCGGTTGCGTCGTTACCATCTGCAACGGCATGTAATGCTTCTTTTAGAAATTATCTAGTAAAATGTAAATATAAAGGCGAGGAAAAAGTTTTCGGAAAATCATTATTTTAGAGAACTTTAGAATTTTAGAAAAATTATATTTGTAGATTATTGTAGGCGGTATTTAGGCTTTAATTCATACTCTTATCTGTCTACTTTCACCTCTTTGACCCGGTGAGCATAAATATTAATTCCCGCGGTGTGTCTCGACAGTGACATTCTCGAATTCTGTCTGATTATACGGGGGGAAATATCGAATGGTGATCAACAGAAGGTTGGAAGTTAAATACATCCATTATAAAACTTGCCAGCTATTAAAATTGTGGTCAAACACGCGATTCTTTGGTTTACGTTTCATTAGGACTATATTATGGTCTCGCCGTTGGGCTTGACCTCAGAGATTTTAATCAAGAGTCGCTACAGTCGTTTCACATCGACAAATTACGAGAATTCTACGTCTATATGCGAACTAATTTATGTAAAACGCGTAAATAAGTTAGCGATCGGTCGGAGTTACGTTCATTTTATTATCTTGATAGTTTAGATTTTCTTTCTAGATTTTAATATGTTGTTGATAATGCATTAGTAATGCTTTCTGCACTTGTTTGCAATTTACTACAAAATTTAGTAGAATAATTTTAGTCATTTAATAAATATAACAACAAAATAATTTAGATAAGCTAAATTAGTGGCTATTTAATAATTATGAAACATACTAAATGTTTTTTCTGCAATTACATAAAGTTATGAAAAAATAATATTTATTGATTTTATCAAGAATTCAATAATTACATGAAAATTTAATTTTTTTTATTAAAAATAGTGTTACGCCAGTAAATAATTTCTAAGTTATATGACATAGAAAAATATAATAAATTTCAATATATGTGTGTTATGTAATTTGAAGTACATGATTGATTACTTTATTGGCTCACTTTGTTTTTTCTAGAACTGAAGGAAATTGCTCACGTTTTATGTTTTGCAGCGCTCATAAATATATCGTAGAACAAATCCAAAGATATTGCATAAAACGGCAAAATCCAATTTTCTTTCCTTCTTCTTCGAAAATAAGAAAAATGACTTTGAAATACTTCTTTGGGTAGACTTTGTTTTTCCGAACGTGGCTAGCGCTGTATGTATTTTCCCCGAGTTTTGATTGGCTCGTGGTGACCTTTGAAATAGGACGAAGGTAAATATCTTTGCAGGTACAAGCGAGTCTATACGAAAGCCAATTTAGTAATCGACATGTAAATTGCACCGTATCTGGCCGATTGCCAGTCTCTGCTTTCTCTCTTCTCTGTCTCTCTCTGTCTCTGTCTCTGTCTCTGTCTCTCTCTCTCTCTCTCTCTCTAACTTAATCTTCCGAACTTCGGTTTCCGTTTGTGACACAGAGCTTTTGATGCTGGTCTTCTTGTATGAGATACTCATCACTTCCTTGCTCTATACTCCGCGCTGCACGTGCATTCCTTTATATACCAGCAATATTATTCGGCATGTTGAGCGTAGCATATCGTGAATCCGGATTCTGGAATGATTCCAGCGGTCGAGAACAGGCAGCAGGACGCCCCCGTGATTTGATCTAGGTTGCCGCTGATGGAATGCGGCAGCGCAAATATACATATACATCGGGAATATTAAACGCGCGGCAAACCGCGGTCGCTCCAATCCCGTTTCTATCTGCGCGCGTCATTTCGCGAATCGTACAGCATACAGAGCTTTCATATCGTCATTGAGTTCGACGTGCATTTGATTACATTGTGTATAATTTACGATAAATACCGTTGATTTCACGATAATAAAATAACTGATCATGCTCCTACCGACAAAATATATTTTGCGGATTAGAACATCTCTCGGAAAATGAGGCAAATTTCAGCTGTAGTTGTGTAATTAATCACGACTGCGATTTGTGAATAATTTCATTTTTGAAATATTAGATTTGTCTCCGCTAAGTATTACACTCATTACTTTAAATTCCGAATGCTGCATCGCGTGTTTATTCCGATTACGCGTGAATTATAAATCTTGTGAAAATACATACGCGGTGTGTGCGTGCGCAACAGTTGCAGCTGTTCTAACGATATTACAAAGGAGCAAAATTATATTCTGCTTTCCCATATTTCACAGACGCAAGATTAAAGTTCGAATATATGTATTTACTTGAGCTTTACCAAGATTATTTTCAATTATTATTTGAAACAAATAAATTGCAAGAGAATATATCGGCGAACTCGCTTTTGTAACATTAAACTTTTCATTGCTAATTAATTCGTGAACACGCGTGAAAAGTGATATACTCGCATCGATCTACTCGCATCGAAACTTGCGTCTCAACATTTACATTTCTCGCAATAGAAATTGTCGAACAGCGATCACATTACCGATAACACACGTCGCATTTGCAAACGTTATGACGCGCACGACTAAAGTTCCGTATTCGAACGTCCTTCATCGGTGAAGTTTGGTGCAATTGTTATTAGTTGGTTGAATTTAATCAGTAATACAACATTCCTTATTCTACCATTATTTATGACCGAAGGGTTCGCAGGAGGATATGGCCTGTCGTAAATTACAATAATCACCTTCCATAAGTGTTATCGCTCCTGTGACAAATTATTACAAATATCAGGGTCATTTTCTTTAATGTTCCTCGATATAACATTTCTCACTGATAGGATAATATCTTTACCCTCCTTACCCGCATTTTCAAGAATAATATCTTACACAGATAAATTCAATATTTGTAGGAGTTAATTTTTACTTTTATTTAAAAATAAGAATTTCTTTTATTATGGCACATGTTTTTCTCTCTGTAAATACTTATATAGCGTTTGCAATCATGGTAAATCCAACATATTTATTTAACAACAGATAAATTAATAATTATTGAAAATATATCGCTGACAAGTGCAACGTAGATGTTTTCTCGAGGTAAGAGTGTTATCTCGCAGCGTCCAAGCATCTCACGTGCAGCTAAACGCAACAGTCAGCATTGGAATATAATGCAGAGTTCACAATCCCCGCATCTGTGCGAATAACGTGAAATTTACGACAGCGAGAGGAGTATAATCGCATGATAGATGAAAATGGCGGTGTGCCCATGTTTGCGTAGATACTCGCGGAAACTGTCGCACTCGCGACCGCTTCCCGACTTATCGGTCACCACGACCATGATAAATGATCGTATTAAGTTGAAAGCGTGCAGAAGGAAGATGAAAAAGGGAGTAGTTGAAAAAAGAAAAGGAAATTGTATACTCTATATCGTGGGATTAATTTTTGCCGTTACGGCTAGTTAGTACAATCAAATTATAATTAATTAAACATGCATTCGTGGAAATTGCACCAACACGGAGACATTTATTAGAAATAAAACCGACGATGTGTTCTTCATATTTTTTTGTTGTTGTGATTTAATCATACATTTATATTAATAAAATATCAGTATCAAGACGATTTCAAATTATGTTGTATTTAAATTTTAAAGCTGATAGTAATATCACGCGTAAAGCGCAAAACGAACTCGTGAAAGTGTGCATCAGTAGAATATGATGCGTGAAAGTATAGTTTTATGACTATATCAATAAGATCGAAGACTATAAAAAAAAGTTATGATCAGAAAAATACTAAACGAGCAACTAAAAGAGCACCAAGTAAATAAAAAAGCAGAGTATAAACATTTTTTAATATTTTCCGTGTCGGAAGAACGCGGTTTATTGAATAACGAATAAACTGGTCGGCTGGGTTGAAAAATATAGTCTGATATGTGTGTATATACAGCAGCATTGGACCTATGCTTTTCCTCCGATTTATCGGAAATCTTTCCAACGTATTCAAAAAGCATGGCTACCAAATGGCTTCCACCTCTCCGATAAGACGACCGGAAAATACCTCGACTCGCCGAATAGACGCGAGAACTTTCTCCAAGCGCGCTCTTATTTCATGAATATTCGAAAAAAAAGCGACTTCTAATTCCGAATCTTCGAATCGGTATGATTTAACTATGTAAATTTCCCCGCGGCATGTTTTCGAAACTAAAATTGGGTTGACTGCGGGGTTTTTTTAAAATTAGCAATCATAAGTTCAAAAGTAATATTACCCGCTTCTTAATTGCGTTACATTGAAGGTTTGGCACTAACGGGCGAAGTTCTCATGACTGTAATAGCGAAACTTTCTACTAGCACTACGCTTTTATCGCTATTTTTACGCGACGGCCACCATTAAATGCTTCTATCCTGTATAATAGTGCAATGTTTCCTAACTTGGACTTTCTTAAACGGGCATTTTTCTTGAAAGCCCGACTTTTTTACCGAACAATAAATCATGTCGCAAACCACAATTTTAATTTTTAATTAAATCAACAAGTATAATAAATAATATAATCATGTGAGAATTTTATTGTACAATAATGATCGTCATTATTAAGATCTTTAAATTATGTGTAAATGTATTAATTAAAAGTAGATAAATCAAAATCACATTTTTATTTTATTCTTCGTTCTTTTCGTTAATGGCAGTTTTGAAAAATGTGAGAAAGTAAAAGGCAAAACTTAGACTGGAGCTAAAACGCTAAACGTAATTTCGCAAAACATTAACTCGGCGAATTGTTTACGAATAAGTCGTCTCGTAAATCTTCCACGTCTATTCTCGAGGTCTTTATGTACACCCACGTGCTTGCTCCATATAATTCGCAACGTAATGTGAACACATAAGGTAAATGTTCTAGTGGCCGGACATTTAAGAGGTAATCGTTATTGAAGATATAATTTTTCATCTATCAAAATAATCAACGCTATAAAAAATCGTTTGCTCTTAGTAAAAGCGTTCGATCTTAACTAAATATAAATAAAACTAAAAAATTTACTAAAAAATAAAACTAAATAATTTACTAAAGATTTTTTTATATTCTTGTGTTTCATAATTATAAAATTGAACAGTAACTGTTTTGTTAATGTATAATTGAAAATAATGAGATACGATCGG